AGACTTGCCATGAAAATGGAGCTTTTTTGATTACTATATGTCCACTTTTGCATTTGTGATTCTCTTTGCTTGTCCTTTTGTATACAGCCCTTCCCAAACACACACTCCTCAGATTCATGCCAGCAGCTAATGAAGGAGCGTTACTGTCAGACAGCAGGCAGACAGAGATAGAGAGACTGTCAGATGGACAGACGGAGGCGTGTACAAACGAAACAAAGAGAGAACGGGGAATAGATGATTTCTGGGGGGAGAAGGCTGCTGTGGTCAAAATCATTGAGATAATTTGACAACATGATGACTAGGACTCCTATCCTGTTATAAAGAAACATTTCACAATGCAGTAGATCGATGTAAAAGCTGCACGTGTTTGTTTGAGGAAACCAAAATCGGTTGTTAATATAGAGGCTGGGTGACTGTGGTTAAGGATGTAAGAACAAAGAGAAGAAGGATGGGCTGCAGTTACTGCCGCCACCCCAAAACCACCTGCGTCTGCTCACTTATAGAGAAAGACAGCAAGTGAAGACATGTGATATGACTATTTTATCTTAAAATCTGTAATACAGATTCAGTGAGCTGATTTTATGTTGACAATGTAGTTTCACCTTTTTTCTTGCAACAAGTGATGGTGTAAATAAACATGGAAGAATAATGCAGATCACATAGAGGCAAAGAAACGTCTCTTTAGTTAATAAAGATTATTATTATTTATTGATATACTTGTTTTAACAAACTCTTATTTGTTTGTTTGTTTAATTTATTGTACATTTTCACATTTTCTATTTTGAAAATGATGTCTTATAGTATTGCAATTGTGTTTACTGTTACACACCAATCACCTATCACCAAATTCTTTGTATCTGTAACGCAATAAACAGTTTCTGATTCTGATTCTATATACTTGTACTTTTGTCACTTAGACAAAAATGTGAGACTTCAATGAGAGAAAGACGGACACGTTATGATTATTTTTACCGTGAACAGGACTGAGCACAGAGCTTTCGTAGCTTTTCGGCATCAGTCTGCCACTCAAGGGCACTTTGCCTGTGGCAGCGGGCGCTGCAGATGCAACACAAGCCCACACGACAGCCACTTACCACAGAAACACACTGGCCTGTCCGTGATTAACATTGTATCAGCAGGTTGTTGTGTTTTGGCAGATTTTCTCTCTCAGGGAAAGAAACGGAAACTGGAAAATAAAGGTTTTTTTTGTAGAAGACGGAGCTGGTAAGACCGAAAGGCAGATGTACAGGGACAGACACATCAGACAGACAAAGAGGAAATTGGTCAGTAAAAAAAAAGCACGAGTAACGCTGATGCCTGTTTCCATGGTGATTGGGGTCAATGAATGGTTGCCATGGAGCTCGCTACTTGGAATTCTGGGAAGGGGATATTTTGATGTGTGTGTATGTCTGAACTTGTGGGTAGAGGATGATGAAAGCGTGTATACATTATAAATGAGACCGTTTGAAGCTCTCTGTGTACTTACAGTAATAACAAGACTTTTGCCGTACTCCCCCTCCTGTTTATACTTTTTAAATACAAAGATTGCTGCCGTTCATCGTCTTTTGTTGCATGAAAATGTTGATTTATGTAAATGTTGCAGCTGTTAGCAAACAGTTGTTCACACAGCAGCAAGAGACTTATTCATCCTCTTTGTTCAGCAGACAGTTAAGATACCTGTTTGTGTGAATGGAACTAAATTTGGCAGATTGAATGTTTTACACATA